CACTTGCTAGATACAGGTTTTAGCCTCGGGACACTTCGGAGCCCTAGGTGATTTTTGACAACCCTGAGTTGTCAGTTAGCAGGCCTGATCCAAAGCTCATGGAAACCAATAGGGGTCTTTCTGGTGACTACCATAGGCTTTGCATCAGACCTTAAGTGCAAAAAGAGATTCTTTAGCATTATTGCATCATCATATCAACAAACCAGATGATGATCTTACTGTACATTACGTTCACATAACTGAAATATATTTAAACCTGTTCCATAAAAATCAGAAATGTAGCTTTTTAAATTTTTTTTTTTTTGGTTTACCAAAACTGAACTTCCATTTGCAATCAATGGCCACAAATATTGTCAGCAAGTAAGTAGATAAAACCTTCAACCTGTAGAATAAATGTCGGGCTTCTAAACAAAGTGTGTAGAACGAAAAGCTGCTGATATACTTCTTGGATGAAAGTTAATGGATGTCATGGAAAAATAGCAAGTAAAAATAAAACAATACTGTACTTTCCTCAGGGGAAAAAAACTGAAAGAGCGAAGAATGGCTTCCTTTATGACTATGACAAACTGCAGCCCCGTTCAGTGCAGATGAAGTTGTGAAGATCTGTGAATGTGATGAATAGTACAGGGTAACTCCAACTACTGTGCTATTTCTCTGTAACACCTAGTTCAAAGTTTCCAAACGAGCATCAAAAAATGGGATGCTACTAGTTCACTCTTAGTTCAGGGGGCACTAAACTTTCTTGGGTTACACAGGGCAGCATCTATAAAGTAATGAAGAATGATGTTAATATTGTAGCATCTTATTCCAAGAATACATCATTTCCTGTAACCATGTCACATTTGTACAATATGAATGGGCCAAATCTAGTAGTACTCCCACTAATTTCAGCGGGAGTCTTTGTGAAACAAGGATCGTGACCCTCATTTGAGTTCAATAAAACACCCACTGATTACCACCCCAGAGCCAGCTGATACCTCTCTACATTTACATGCTGTGCAACTCCACTGCTTCTTTACAGAGTAACAAAAAGTTTGCTATATGCGCTGATCAGAATCTCAGCTTGTAAAAGGTAGACCCTGCTTTCTGTTTCAAAGGCAAAAAGTAAACTTCGTTTTTAATGGACCCTGCATACATAATTCTGTTTTCATAAATGATAAATCTTGCGACTGAATCCATTAAAGTGCATGAGTAATAGTGCAAAACACTTACATTATATCTGCAAAGCTACAAGTGAGATATTAAATCGAATGTGCACCATACTTGTGAATTTTGGCAAACATGCTTGTTTAAACTTGCGAGAGCTCGGCATTTTCAACACAGTACAATACAGTGTGGTCAGTTTAAACCAAGTGGCCCAGAGTGCCACATGTGACACTTGATACCAGTTCACTGAAGTCAACAGAAAGGTACCTCCTCCTCCCCCTGATTGCCACAAGCATTGCATTAAGCCAATAATGCATACTTCTAAGTGATAATGACCCATTGCATTAACCAAAGGGACATGCAATGTATGTCCATAGGGCTCCTATAGTTGGGGAATATCCTTTATTATGCTTTGTTGAAAGCACAGTGCATCCACATATATAATACAAGCCCTTACGGCTTGAAGGGGCTAATTTGGCGGTCAGCATAGTGTTGTTACTTGAAATCATTAACAGGACAGAAGCAAGAGTTAACTAAGACCCTGACCCTATCACGAGCTCATGCCAATGTTTCCTTCTGGATCCTCCTTCAAATGAATGAGGGGACTATGTAGGAAGAACTCATGGCAGCAAACCCCTGGGAAGAAGTCTTTCAACTCTGATGCTCCTGAATATCTTTTCTTAGGGACTGGACTCAAGTCAGGATTCAGCCTAGACTCTAATTTTGCTGCCATCACTTTGCACCTGCAAAATAACTGCACCTCAACTAACTGCTGTCACAGCTCATTGTTTGTTCAGTGGGCTCAAGGAGAGGTATTGTTCCTAGCTGTCCAAGGCTTTGTCTGCATGCTGAGTCTGATCAGTTATACCACCGTAGAGATATCGTATAAGCCCCTATGGTGACACCCTGATTCCAGATCCACAGTCCATGGCCACCACAGGAGTGCCAAGCTCCTGTTGTATTAGAGTTAACCTCAATGAATGACTTCCAAGATATGGCTCTTCACCCGCTCAGCAATATTGGTAACCTATACACACGTGCACCACATTGCAAGGTGTGAGGTTTCAGCCTTAAAACGTGCCCCAGAGGCCTGTATCTCTATTAGCTACACCACAACCCCATCTAATGTGTTTTTCCCCTTTTATTCCCTGATGGCTTTTGCAATGCACCATTAGCAAAATATTATCTCTAAAGGCAAATGCATACACACACACAATTGCAAAGAGGCCACTTGACACTCTTTTTAAGTGCAGATCCAACATTTTTCCTGAGTATTTGCAGGTGGGATTATCAGGAACACTCCCATTGCATGCCACAAGAATTGACAGCTATAGATAATGAACTAGACCAACACTGGGAGCTTCTGAAACCTCAAGTCTTTGTCTAGTCCTCTTGAATATATGCAAATACCTTGTGGGGCAGCTCAGAGTCATTTCACGCGGGGGCCTGATTCTCATCTTATTTATGTCTGTAAATCAAGCCAGGCACCTATGGAGTTGCATTACCATATATTAGCAGAGACTCAGACTGGCAGCCTCTACAGAGGTAACTGGATGCAATTTCTTTTGTACCTGGGCCTCGAGTCTTGCAAGCAGATCCCCAGAGGCAGGCCAGTGGGGCTCAAGATTTCCCACCCCTATGAGCACCCTTTGGGAAGAAGGCTTGGTTTCCAACAGCCCAGATCTGAGCTAGCAAATAGTAGCAAAAGTCCTTCCAACTTTCACTCACTTTGGCACCCCATGCCCAACCCCCATGGGGCTATATGCATATATTGCATGTATCGCAGCTACTAACTGAAGAGTCTCAAAGCTGTAGAAAAGTAGATGGATATTGTAAACTTCTGGAGGACACACATTCACAGGTAGGGTTGGATAGGATTTTAGCCTACAGTTAATACTACTTGAAAGGACACTTTTTAAAGCGATTACTCCTATAAACAAGCATAGTCTGTTCCTTATTCTTCTGCCTCTCCACCCCATTTGGGTCATTTACTAGCACTTTGTGAACAGCCAGTATGATTATATTCTTTTTTATAGCCGATCCAATCCCCAGTCCTCTGAATACTGGAGTAGGTTGGATGCTACATGCATGCCAAGTTGGTATAATTAATGGGTCTATTTGTGCAACAAGAGGCCTAGTTTCCATTGTTTACATGGCTGGCTTTCTTTTCACTTTTTTCTTATCCAGCAACTGGGGAATGGAAAAGCCACATGCAAAAATAGAGCAATGTGATTGTAAACCCTCACTAATAAGGAAGGCACCCCAGAACAGGTCAAATACCTTCAGCACTTGTCATCATTGTCTTTTTTTTTAACTGACCGTGTTCCAAGTGAATGTCCCTCAAACCGGGAATAATAGTCTAGTCCCTTAACCTAGCATGAAAAAACATCCACATGGCATGTCTTTCGGCATGCTGAAACTCAGAAACACCTACAGAAGCACATCTGGCATCATCTGCTCTGATTGCAGTATTTGGGGTGAGCAAGATGTTTTTTCCTTTTAGCAGCATTTCTTTGACACTGCTGAGAGACCAGAAGCGAAGAGAAAGAGCTTAGCTTCCATTCGAGACAGGAGGCTGCAGTGTTTTCTGGCATGAATGTCGGGCCAGGGAAACGAAAGCAAGCCACAAATCTCTTCCTGTGTTGTGGCAAGGACCTCAGTCCCTGCCATCCCAGTTCCTAATGTGTGATTAATGAGGTGCTGCAGCACTGCCAGAAAGCTGGGGGGTGACAGGTCTTTTCTTCATCGACACAAATGCCTGACTGTAAATCATGGGAATGAGTGATCTTCGGCATCGTTGGCCACAAATGGCATTTTTAGGGATGGGAGGGTCCTTTGTGGAGCTGCATGGCCTGTTGTAAACCAGATCGTCCACCTCAAGTGGAAACAGTCCTAAAGTTATCAAAGAAAATATTTTCTATCAACTTGCATTGAAGACAGCTAAAATGGCCGTGTCACGTATGTCTGCTTTAGCAAGGCACCTTAAGCTACATGCTTAAACCTAAGTAGAAGCTATTGCTTGAACATAGTATTTCATGAACATGCACGTTGTCTAGAAAATCCTTTCACTGTGGCTAAAAACAGATGGCAGATCCTGTCCAGATGGACTGCCTGGGCTTTGATGAAACAGGGAGGCGACACCGTTATTTAATGCATGCAACTGGAACAGCCATTAACTGGAATTAACCCCAATGGTCCCCGGGGAATACGTGTTATCTCCATGCTTCGCTGGTACTTAGGGTGGCACAATGAGTTTGTATGCCTATAGGATGCCAGAATAACAATACGCTGTCCCAGGGGAAATTGCCTGTCTGTTTTTAGCCTATGAGATTTATACCTCCAGCGCCAAGTGATTTCTGCTGCTCTTTAATGCACTCAGAAATCCACGTACAAACTGGAATATTTAAGCCTGGGTCTCCACAAAGCTAGCACGTGTTTGCTAAGGATGAAGCAAGAGCTGGATTAGCAGTTACAACTCATTTATTTTTAAGGTAAGACTTGCATGGAGCTTAATAAAACTCTCTCTCCCTCCACCAAGCACTATTCAGTGCCCTTTCAAATAATGGTATCATCATGATCCAAATTCCTTACTGGAAGGCAGTGATATCTACCTGGAATGGGAGGAGCTAGGACAAAAACCAGTTACAACAGACCAGCTTCACAACTAACACTCATCGATATAGCTTCTAGGAGGATTTTGCAGCCTCTCTCTCAAATGCACCCTCCTCTTTTTTGGTTTACTTGTGGTATGACCCCCTTTCTATCCCCCTGCCCCCTTTTTTTTTTTTGGAATAAGTAGCCTGAGGAGCTAATGAAAAAAAAAATGTATGTATCAATTCCCTAAAATAAAAAAAAACAGCCCTCAAAACGACTTGAAAAGATTCTGAGCTGATTTCCTATTTTCAGAGAAAGTTTTAATCTCCATTTCAGAAGCTAGAGACAGACATTACATGATAAACTGGTTTAAGTAATCAGAAACTGGCTGCAACCTGTAGCAGAACAGATATTCAGTGCACATAAACCAGTTTGAAAATGGCTGCAACCAGTTTGAGGTGAACCTGGTTAAATTGTAGTATCAGATTCAACGTAATATTAGATGTCAGTCCCAGACCAGACAGGATGTAGATTCGGGAATGAGACAACAGAGAGGATTTTTGGTATATTGCTCACGAGACCTCTCCCCTGCTGATCTCCAAATGGATTTTAAGGCATAGAACCCTGCTTTTTTCATTAAATGTTGAGGTCTCTGGATACGATGGCTTTGCACTGAAATAATAAACTCCTAGGATCTTCTATGGCTTAGTTGTGGATTCCCCTGCATTTGGCTTTGAGGGTTTGAGTTCATGACAAGATGGAACCAAGAAAAAACACTCAAAGCTGCCAACCTCTGTGATATGATAGCATCACATTTCATACAACAATAAAAATAGACACCAGAAGACTCCACGATTCCTGCATCTCAGCCACTCCAGTTCAAATTCACTTTTGCTTATACAGAGGGGGTGTTTTAGCCAGCCCTGGTAATTCAGCTTAGGCTCTGAAGTGAAGCATGGGAACAGGTTACCCAGAGAGGTGGTGCAATCTCCATCCTCGGAGGTTTTTAAGCCCTGAGTAGAC